ATCCTGTAAGGAAGGAAACATTCTGGTGTTGCTTACGGAAACTGCCTCTCCGTTAACCCTTATTATATTCTTGACAGGAGTAGACTTCCTGTCTCAGGAACTTTTCTGGAGTTTTTTTTTTTTTTCATCTTTGCTGGTACTGTGCTTGTGTGGAGTGACCATTCAAAGTTACAATGGCACTGAAAAAAGTGACTTATGACCGTTTTTCACACTTACAACTGTTGTAGCATCCCCACAGTCATGAGAGGCCAGGTGAGGAGATGCGTGCCTTGATGTGAGTGATGTTGAGTTGGCCACGCCCAGCCAGTCACATGACCACCAAGCCATGCCCATCAACTAAGCCATGCCCACAGAACTGGTTGTTAAAAAATTTGAATCCCACCCCCGATATGTTGCCAGGTTCTATGCAGCAGCACTTAAAATGCATCAGATCCCACCCCTCCCCTCCCAGGAGTCTCCATGAGGCCCATTTTTGGATGCAGGTAAGTGCAGGGCACGTGAGGGATGTTGCGGGGGGGCAAAAACGGGCCTCCCGGAAGTTCATGAAGGCCAGAAATGGGCCCATTTTTGCCCTCCTGGAGGCTCAAGGAAAGCCTCCAGAGCCTGGGGAGGGCAAAAACACCCTCCCCACCATGATGCAGGAGGCCAGCTAGCAGAAGTGGGATTCAACCGATGTTACTACCAGTTCAGCAATTACACTGAGCACGCGTGTAATTCACCTTAAGCTGTGCCGCCCGGACAGATGATAAGCGCTGCGCGCGGGTGCGCAGCGTTTGAAAAACCACTTTTTTTGCTGTTGTTTCAACCTCAGATGTGCCACGCAAAGCAGCTGAGGTTGAAAAAGCAGGAAATAAAGGTCAAGTAAGAGCCTGGGCGGGCAGGTGGGCCAAACAGCAGCAGACACAGAACCGGTTCAGTGTATGCTGCTCTTCAGAGCTATCAGTTCTATAGAACCGGGCAGAATTGGTAGCATCCCACCCCTGCCAGCTAGGTCATGCCCACCATGGCCACGCCCACCCAGCAACTGGCAGAGAACCTTTGCTAATTTTTTTGAAGCCCACCCCAGCAAACGGTCCTTTTTAGTGATGGAATCCTCTCAAAGGTAAGGACTGCTTCTTCTCTGTTAAGTGTTAGAAAACCATTAAAGTTTTGTCTCTTGCAGACGATGCTTGAGGAAAAGATGAAATGTTTAATTATTCCCAAAGTGTTGGTGCCATTGCTACTTTAGAGAAAAAATATGTTGCGAGTGTTTGCTGTTGCTCACAGTTTGAATGATTTTCCCTTTAATGCTTATGTGAGGAGACTGTAAGCCACTCAAAGTTTTCTGGTTTTTTGGCACAGAAACTTGAATGGACAAATAAACAATACTGAATTCCATACAGTAGAAGATCTCAACAGCACACAAATACATGATTAATTGAAACATTGTTTATTGATTTAAATCAATATCCAAGACGTGCTGTGCTGCGAAAGCTAACAAGTTTATATTTTATAGAAAGAAAATTGTATCCAGTGCAAGATTGACTACTTATCATCTTATGATAAATAAACAGAACAGGTTTAATTTCCAAAATTATTAAATCCAAATCTCTATCTAGTACTTTATGTTCTTCGCAAAATTTGCCTCCTATCTAAAAGCAGCACTACAATTAAACTTCTATTAGTAAGAGTTACATATACAAATACGTTTTATTGATTCTTCTACAAAGTGAGCAACAAATTTCATTTGGATTTGCATTCTAGATATCATAAATGAGTTTCAGTATATGAAATAAAGATAAAGCATAGGTAACAAATTATACAGTCTAGGTCACAGATGCAAGGGGCCACTTTTTTGCATAATAAACAGTTCTTGAAAACAGTGACTAGTTGTTTTTTTAAAAAGCTACAGTTGGCATCCAGTAGAGCTGACTTAGATAAATGATAGGCCTAAAGAATAATAATTGTCCAGGTGGAATTGTCTTTGAAAGAAGAAAAGGGGTGGGGCTATAGTATGAACATTCTGATTGGTGAAGTAGGTGGGTTCTGCAAATGATTGATGGCAGTTTAAAAAACAGATGTAAATGGCTTAACTGCCACAGCTGAATTGTTTCCTCAGGTACAATAGGATAAAATTAATAGAATAGAAAATATTGTATAGGATTGTGATTAGTAGTTTGGAGACAAGTTGTAATCTCCCCTTATGGACCTCTATTTAAATTATGTAATCTTATATTTTCCTTCTGTGATGTAAGAAATATTCATCTTATGTCATGGATAAATAATAACAGCACTGTACAATAGTTTTGTATTAGTAAAACTATTACTTAATACATAAAGTGTATATAGATTTGGAGGGGTGGCTGGGATAAAATATGCTTTCTCTTGTTTTAAGACATTTTGATATCTTGAGTAGAGTGCCTCTGAGAATATCTAAAATTCAAATAATAGATGTTTGGGTACATCTTTTCACTTTTGTTTTTTTAGGTGGACCATTAAATCTATAAAGTTCTGGCAAGTATGTTTTAATGGGATGCTATAGCTGTTAGAAATTTTAACTATCATATATGCTACTGTTTTATTTTTAATTGATTTTATTGCAATGATTGAATTTTGAATTGATTGAAATCCAAAAACAGACACACATACAAAAAGCACAATGGTCACGTTTTCTGTTTATATGATGATATTACAATAGTTATATGCAATTTGTGTAAAGATCCCTGATCAATATTTGCTACTGTGTAATGTAACAAAAGCTAAGGTGAACCTCTCTCGGCAGTGTAAAATTGATGCACATTAAAGCAAATGCAAATATAATTTTTAATAGATTCGTTGAAATACATTATAAAATATTTTTTTCTGTACATGAGAAAATGCAATACAAAGAAACACAGACTGTAGGTGAAGTACAGATAAAAGGAAGAGTTGGCAAATGATGAAATGGTTAGTGCTAATCAATAGACTTTCCTGCTTCATGGAGCTGGGGATTTATCTTTGGCAATGTTGATTTTACATATTTTTGAATTGTTTTATACACCCTTTGATTAAAAAGGATCAAAATATAAAAAAGGAATATTTTGATTTCTTGCTTCAAATTCCTCTAGATTTTGATCACAAACCATTCTTAAATAGCACTTTAACTGTCAGGGTAACAATATTATGTGAGGTAGAAAATGAACACCTTTATTATCAATTGTAATATTTGATATTTGGGTATGTAAAATCTGATTATAATTTTTGTCTCTGACCAAGGCCGTTGCTTGTCAGAGCTTGAAATCAATTTGATATATGATTATAGCAATATTCTATAGAGATTTAGGAACTCTTTAGAGACTTACACACCTTGATGCTAATTAATGAAGAGAAGGAAGGAAGAAGTAGTGAAATTTTCATAAAGGTGTGACCAGATAATTCACAATAATTTAAGCTGTTTAGAGTTTGCAAGCTCCTTGAAGGCATCACTGTAGCACTAAAATGCTCTCCTGATTGCTGGCACTAGCTGTGAATTCCAATTATTAAGCTAATCAGTGTAGATTAAATATTTTCATAGTCCTGCAGAGGCCAACAGGCAAATGGTCTCTACTTTTTCTTCTTTCTTTTTCTTCTTTCTTTTAGAACCTCTCAGAATATTTAATATTTCTGCAGAGGCACAAAAAAAAATCAGCATTTCTCAGTTGCTCTGCTTCAGAATTAAAACTCCTCAATTTATACTCCAACATTTTTTTTCCTAACTGCATTTTTCAAATTGTAATTATTTACTGGGGCATTAAATACTGTTTTTAACCAGTAAATGTGCATATGAATAAGTCACCTAGCAGGCAGTAGAATTTTAGATACTCTTGTGCATGTGTCTGTGTATATATACACACAGAGACATAATTTCTGATTTACTAAACCAGGGGTTTCAAACTCGATTTCATTGAGGGCTGCATCAGGGTTGCATTTGAAATTGGGGGGGCAGGGGGGGCATAGCCAGCTCAACATCATCGTGTTAGTGGCCCAAGTGTTCTGCCAGCGAAAACGGGCTCCCAAGCTCCGTTTTTGGTTGTGATGGCTTCCTGCAATTCTCAGCCAGAGAAAATGGAGCTCCGTTTCACTGGCAGAGGTACCATGGGCTGGTCCTTCACTGTTTCCAGGTCACCCCTGTGGGCCAAATCTAAGCACCCTGTGAGCCAGATGCGGCCCTCAGGCCTTGACTTTGATACCCCTGTACTAAACCATTGAGAATATGCCATAGTTTTATTCCTTCTACAACTACTACTGGTTAATACTAATCCATATTTTACCTGATTTGGGCATAAAAGGGACTTGTGGGTAAGAGAGGAAGAATTATCTTGCACCATTTCAGTGCATTTCCATAACCTTTTACCTGTAGGATTATTATGAAATGAACCAATGTATGGTGTTGGTTCATATTAGGAATTTACGATTAAACATAATTTTACGTTCTATTTTTTAGCTCATATGTAACCTGGGGACTTAATAATTAAAACACAGAATAAAAAACAGTGTCATGCGCTCGTTCAGTTTTTATCTTCCATTAGTTGAAGAAGCTTAATTATAACTTTTGTATTGGACTATTGATTAATAGTTGGAAAAAAAAGATAAAGTATTTCATATTAAATCTCTTTGAAAATTTTTATGGCTGTAGCCCCCAACCTTTCTGGCTCCAGGGACCATCACCTGGAGGGGTGGTGGGGGGGGGGGAGGGAATGGTTTTGTGTGTGCACTGTGCAACCTAGTTCCCAAGAATGCACAAATGGAGGTTCACGTGCTCACCTGCTGCTTGTGTGGCCCGATTCCCAACGGACTGCAGACCAGTACCTATCTGCGGCTTGGGGTTGGAGACTCCTGTTGTATGGTATCATTCTCATTGATGACATCAATGTTCTGCTATTTTACTTACAGAATTCTAGTGGTTATTGCAGTGGAAAATGGAAAGAGAGAAAGCAATCATAGGAAAAAGGCTTTAATGTTTCCCATCTGTTTAATAATACAAACAATAATTTTCTACATTCATGGCACTCAGAAGGCATGTAAAAAACCTTGTGAAAAATTATTCTGAAGCTGAGGTAAAAGTCAGAGAAGCAACTTCTAATGACCCTTGGGGTCCTTCCAGTTCTCTAATGTTAGAGATAAGTGACCTGACATACAACACAAGTTCCCTTTCTGAGATTATGAACATGATCTGGCATAGGATGAATGACCATGGGAAGAACTGGAGACACGTGTACAAATCTCTTACGCTCTTGGACTATCTCATCAAGAATGGATCAAAGAAAGTCATACAACATTGTCAAGAGGGTTTCTTTAACATTCAGATATTAAAAGATTTTCATCATCTAGATGAAGCAGGAAAAGATCAAGGTAAGATTAAAAATACTTGGATATATTAAATGGATGTGTTTGTTGTTAGTATTGGGTAGCGATATGAGATGTGAACTGCAAACCCCTGGGGAACTACTAGATGGCATTAAAAAGATAGTGTTTTCTCTATCTTTTTGTTACAATCTAGTGCAGGAGTGTCAAACTCATGGGCCGTGGACCAGATGCATCACACACTGGCCACACCCATTCCCATTTTAGCAAAGGGGAAAAAAGTTGCAATACATCACGTGACGACAACATGTCATCGTGAGTTTGACACCCCTGATCTAGTGGTATTTCCTGAAGGTAAAAGATGAGAGTGCAAAAGTAATGATGCCTAAGTAAGAATGAAAACCAAAATTAAGTCAACTGCTAGTGTCAGCTAAATACTAACTGATAAAGTAGTGGAAGCAATTACACATTTTATATTTCTGGACTTAAAACTCCACACAGATGTTGACTACAATATGAAACAAAGATTTCTACTTGGGGATAAATATAGGCAAAGTATTAAGAGTGTAAATATACTGCTAACAAAGGTATGTACTGTTAAGGCAATGTTCTTACCCAGACAGTCATAAAGGTTAAATGAGGAAAAAGGTTTGTGTTTGAATTATACTCTTGGGGAAAATGGTTGAGAATATACAGCAGGATAGCAGGAATGTCAAATCATTTGGTACTAGTAAAACAGACAAGACAGTTCACTGAAAGCATTAAGAATGAAGTTGAAGCTGAAATATTTTGGATGCAAAAGCAAAAATTCTTTGGAGAAGTGAAACCAGTCATGACTAGGCTTTTCAAATTTGTGCAAAAGTATACTTGTCCTGCTATGGTCCTTCCCTTTTCTCTTCCCACTGACCTGTCTTTGTGTGCTATATCATATATTTTCCCTCCACTACTGGCATCCCTGAATCTCATACATCATTCAAGAGAATATAGATAATGAAGACTAGTTTAGTTTTTAACTGGTGTCATCATTACCTTACAAACAGCGTATGTGGCATTGATTGGATTTATAAGGTTGTTTTTGGCAGGCAACAAGCCTGCCTAATTAGGACTAATTAGGCAGCATGTAAAATTGAAAGAAAGAAATCAAATCATATAAGAATCTAATAATTCTAAATTAACAGTAAAACCAGTCAGATCTCTATATCATATAGCAAACATTATATTCTTAATTTTAGTTTTTAGTCATTTAACTTTAATGATTTAGATATGTCAGTTATTTTTATTTATGTGATTTACAAGAGAAAAAAATCCATATTGTAAAACAAAAGAACAACAACTTCTTTGTTTATTTATAACTTTAAAGCCATGCACTGTATTATTTTATTTCCTGTTGACATAAATGATGCAGGGCCTTTTAAATAAATTATTGCACTGTCTTGCAAGATGCAGTGAATCTTTAGTTTCTGATTGTTAGAATTGCTCTATAAATAATTATGTCAAGATACTTACTTAATAACTATTTCAATAAAAAAGCTTCATTTCTTATCACCAAATTTTAATTATATAAGACTATGATATTCTGCTTTGGGTTGGATTACAAACTATAGTAGAAGAATATCCACTAATTGATGCATGTGCAATGTACAATATTTAGGATACCATGCAATATCATGTACAATGTTTAGGATACCATGTAATAGATAGGAGGGATAAGCCACCTATCTCCTGTCTATAACACAATCCCTTTGGCAGTTCCACACCTATTTGCACTCTTATTGAGGTGACCTTGTGGGCACAGATAAATCTCCAAGTGGCCTCAATGGCTCTCAGAGAGAGTGCGAATGATCAGTTGATTGTAAAGAAATATGTTCCTTCCACCTCCCAATCCTGTCAGGACAAATCCTTCCCCCCAACCTTCTATCCCAATCATCCTGCCAGAATGGATGAAGCTTCTTTAAACATCTTCAAGGGAAAAAAATTAAGAAAGTCCAGTTGCCTTTTGAATAGGACCTTTGAAAGACTATCATATTTCTTACAATGTCAGAGAACAACATTTCAATCTATTTGCATGACATCCCCTATTTCTGAAAATGGCATTATCTTATAACACTACTTTAGCTAAAGAATCATATAATCCTTGGGCTAGTTTAACAAATGCTTTAAAGAAAAAAACAACAGTTTTTTATTAGAGGCAGGTGATTATGATTTGAAAAACAAGATAATTGCCCTAGGTATAAAGATCTTTATATTACTGGCATTTCAGCATTTTCCAAATCCATAAAGTCCTAATGAATATAGTAACCACAGAAGGCATTAGTAAGCTTTACAAATTTATCAATATTTCCTTTTCAACAGGTTTCCATGTAAGGGAGAAGGCTAAGCAAGTTCTTGCTATTTTAAAAGATGAACAACTGATGCATAATGAACGTGAAATTGCGCGCCGGACTAGACGGCGCATTTCACATGCAATTTCACATGCAATGCTTTTCTCCCAGAAGCCTTCTAACAAAGCTTATGTACCAGCTACGCTTGGCTCAGATCCCATTTCAGAACTCCCTCCATCAGAAAATGTCCAACGTAAGCAGTAAATATTTACATTGCTATCCATGTTTTTGCATTTGAAAGTTTCAGCAACTTCACTTTTATCATAACTAGGTATCTCTTAGCTAAGTCATCCAAACAACTATATAAAAGCATTCTAGGTTTTCACATTAAATGAAAAGTCATCTATTTGGCTTATAAAGCAGGATGTTAAGATAGACCTTTGGTCTCATCCAGAAATACTCTCCTTACATTTGTATTCTCTTTTGTGATGAACAAAATGGCTAAAATGATTTAATGGAAAAATACTTTCAAGTGTATCTGCTCTTCCTTAGAGCAATAATAAAGCTTTGGTATCTACCTTTTCAATGTTTTCCCTTATATTGATCTTGTGTAAAAATGAGTATGGTTTCAGGGAAATTATAAACCATGTACAGTCTGGAAAATCACTACGGTGAATGAAACCTGAACAAATGAAGGAACTGGCTAGGTATAGGTGATGAACACTTAAATCTGAATTATAGATATTTTTTACCAATTGGCATGAGTATATGAATAGAATAGAATAGAATTCTTTATTGGCCAAGTGTGATTGGACACACAAGGAATTTGTCTTGGTGCAAATGCTCTCAGTATACATAAAAGAAAAGATACATTCGTCAAGAGTCAAGATACTGATTCTTCTAATCAGAAATATATAGGTTTGCATAAATTTCTGGTAAGTTAGGAAATACTGCGATCATGTCCCCCCAGTCCTTCTTTTCTCTAGACTAGCCAAACCCAAATCCTGCAACCATTCTTCATATGTTTTAGTCTCCAAACCTTTAATCATCTTAGCTGCTTTTCTTTGCACTTTTTCTAAAGTCTCAACAATTTTTTTGTAATGAGTCCAAGAATCTTGCTTATTTTTATTTTTATTTCTAATCTGTCTTTTACAGTTATATTTTTGGTAGGTTGGGCCTTTTTGTATGAAGACTGATGCAAAGGATGAATTAAGCAGCTCTGCTTTCTCTCTACTGCCTTTAGCTTTCTTGCCATCTTCTTTCTTTAGTGGACAGACTGTTTCCTTGATTTTTTTCTTGTTATTTATATGTTGAAAGAAACTTTTTAAAAAAATATTTTTGACTTTTGTTGCAAATCTTTGTTCATTCTGAGCCTTTGCTTCTCTAACTTCATCTTTGCAGATTCTGGCTATCTGCTGATATTCTGCCTTAGTTATGTGTTTCCATTTTTTGTACTTATTCTTTTTGTCTTTCAGTATATCAGAAAGATCTTTGTGCAACCATGCTGGTTTCTTCTTGGATTTCTTGATTTTTTTGCGGGGAGGGATCAACTATGGAATTAGCCTAGACTCTCTGTATAAACACAAGAGGGCTAGATCTGACCCTCTCTGAATGCCTAAGACAGGGGTGGGATTCTACCAGTTCTGTCCAGCTTTGCAGAACCGATTGCTCTGAAGAGCAGCAAACAGGGAGCATACGTAGAACTGGTTCTATGTCTGCTGCTGTTTTGGCCCATCCGCCTGCCCGGGCTCTTACCTGACCTTTATTTCCTGCTTTTTCAACCGCAGCTGTAGATTGTCTTGAAGTCCTTTCCAATAACTTTGATGTAAAATATTTATGTGCCATGCTGCAGTAATATTACTCTGTTTAAATAGTGTTTGGGAAATTTAGAGATAGATCATTGAAATTCACATTACATTCTAATTTTAAGGAGAATGTTTATAAAATAATGTACTGTTGGTATATGTCACTAGAAAAATTAGTCAGAATTTATAAAGGTGTTTCAAATTTATGTTGGAAATGTAAACAACAAGTAGGGTCATTTTATCATACTTGGTGAATGTGAAAAGTGCTAGAAAGTTTTGGGCTCAAATATATAAAGTGATTCAGAAGATTTTAAAGGTTAACATTCAATTGAAACTAGAATTTTATCCTGCTGGAAAAGATAGATAAAGAATTAGAAAAGAGCCATGGAACACAGCTTTTATATATAATAACTGCAGCAAGATTATTTGTATGCATCAAGATGGAAATATTTGACAATATACAATGGAGGAATGGTTGGGGAAGATGGTAGAATTTGCTGAAATGGCTAATTAACTTGTTTGACAATACTTATATTTTGGTGATTGAAAACTCCTCATGGACTTTTTGTATAAGAAAGAAAAAATGAACACGATTTATGGTTCTGAAGATTTGACAGGATATAATAGAGAAAAAAAGAGTCATGATGTAATGAGATCGAGGTTAAAATGTAATTTGTATTTATAACTGCTGTTAAGATTGGAAGTCACATTTTTATATATTTCTTGATATCTTGTCTCCTTTCTATTTTTCTTCTACTTTTCATTTTTGCATTTTAGTTTTTTTCCCCTCCCCTTTTCATTCTTCTCTTTTGTTCTATTTTAGTTTGTATTTGTCATTATTATTGTTGTCAAAACTTATAAAAAAGGGAAATTTAGTGACATGGATTATACTGGGCCCAATTTTCTGATTTCCCCCCCCATATATTTTTCACACTAAAAGGTATAACTTTGTTCTTTATATTAATTTCTTCTACTTGGGGAAAAAGGAGACCATAAGCAAAGTTAATGGTAAAGTTCAGCAGAGTTTTATGGAAATTTCAATTCTGTCTCGGCATTTGAATTAGCTTATTGTTCGAAATATTGGAGCAGCAACCCCCCTTTTTGGGGAAGGGTCTAATTAACTTTGGAGAGGTTTTTCCTTTTTACTCACACTCTCTGACACACACTTATAATATATTTATTTCTTTGGCAGATTTGCTGCCTAAGGCATTACCTGCAGCAGAGCAAAACCAGCAGACAGGCAAAACAGAAATAGCCCAAGAAGCAGCAGTACTGAATATCATTGCAAAGAAGTCATCAGAGGTAATAATAGTATTATGGGGTTCTTCAATATGATAAAGAATTCTTGCAATATTGGTAATTCTTGGGCCCGGGAATTTGTATAGTAACTACTCTTTAAACCAGATATCTAAAAAAAAATATTGGTAACTGTGAACATTCTGGCAACATGTTTCTTATCTTCATCTTCTCCCTCGCCCAGGACAAAGACAGACTGAAGTTGTCTTTACCTCTATTAATATTAAAATAGTATTTTCCTCTTTATTCTGATATCAACCAAGGGCAGATAATGGGTGGGAAGTGGAGAAAGGACCAGCAATGGAAGAAGCAGATTTCATGCTAATATAATGTTCTGCCAACTCAAGAATGAGTGAATAAAATTTCATGAAAGCTAATTGGCTAGTAGCATGAGGAGTAGATGGTCTCTCAGTCTCCAAGTAACAGAATTTAGAAATAAAAATTGTAATCTGTTATTTCTCTTATGCAGGGGTGGGATGCTACCAGTTCTGCCCGGCTCTATAGAACCAGTAGCTCTGAAGAGCAGCAGACACTGCACTGGTTCTGTGTTTGCTGCTGTATGGCCCACCTGCCCTCCCAGGCTCTTGGCTGTCCTTTATTTCCTGCTTTTTCAATCTCAGCTGCTTTGCTCGGCACAACTGAGGTTGAAAAAAGCAGGAAAAAAGAGACTTTCCAAATGCTGTGTACCTGCGCACAGTGCTTTTCAGCTGTCCGGGCGGCACGGCAAAAGGTTTTTTACACGTGTGTGAAGCATACTCACCAAACCGGTAGTAACACCGGTTGAATCCCACCACTGCTCTTATGCCTTGTTAATAGCTGATTAGAGATATCTAGTGGTCATTATTCAAAATCAAATGCTGGACCTTTCTGTAACCGCTTAAGCAATTTTTCTGAACAAATCATCCAACAATAACTTTACTCCCTCCTGTAGAATGAACTGTTGTTCAATGATAGGTAATGTACAGTGCATGCATCCCAGATTAAGTCATTTTTTTTAAAAAAGTTTGTATTATGTCAGACTAATTAAAAAAAAGAAGAAAGATTACCTACATAAATGGAATTAATAAAATAATATGGCACAACATTTATCAAACAAACAAACAAAACAAAGAGGCTGAGCAATCCAAACAAAATGACTAAATTGTTTAAATCTTCTTTGCTCTTTCGTTGAAAATAATCCCCTATTGAGATATTCGTTATATTAGAAATGCACAGCAGCAAATGGGAGTCAGACAAGGATATGTACTAGCTCCCATTTTGTTTAATTAATAATGCAAAAGTCCTTTCAAAATAGACAATATAGAATGTTTTACATTCTTTCTGTAGATAGACAAAAATGTAAAACATTCTGCTTTCTGCAGAATGATACAATTCTGCAGACTTGATGTCATATACCCAGGTAGGGATGAGAAGACTGCTGTGCAGATTTAGTCCATACTGCGCACTCAACTACCTGAACATCAATAAGGTCAAGGCCAAGATAGTTGTATTGGGAAGAGGTGGACTAGATATATTGAAGCCTGGACAAGGAACACATTGACCTATCTATACTTAGAAATTGTTTCTGCAGAAGCAGATTCCTGGCTCCCATATTTTAAGAGAAGTTTTTAAAGGGCTCCAGCCTATGTCAATACCATAAGACAATTGACTAACCATAGGCTACCCAGGTTCTCTAATTCCAATCAAAGGGGAAATAACAGCCAAATAGTGATTATATATATTTTGCAGAATTGTGGAGATATACAAATGCCCCTTTATTGCAACAGATATTGTCCACTTTGTTGAATGCATCTTGGAGATGTGTGAATAAATAAATCTGTATCAACTCCAGCAGTAGAGGCAAAGTTGATCATATTCCATATACCAATCCATCTAGTTATTAAAGAAGTTAATTGGATGAAGTTATTATTTATGGATCCAGATAGATTACCCAGGCTTCGTTCTATACAGCACTTGGATAACATGCTCCTCATACTTGGGCTGCTCAGCTTTCAAATGTTATCTTATAATATGGATTTTTCCATCCATTTCAGTCAGATCTGAAGGCCAACAGATGTTTCAAACAACAAAGGATCATTAATGTGTCTGCTTAAGAGGAAATATCTGGTTGAACACAAATAGGCTTCCTGTTAAAAAAGTATTTAACAACTTACATGGCTCAACTCTTTAGAAGAGCTTTTTCTAGAGCTTGTTTTGAACAACTAGATTCTATGGTGAGATGTAGGAGGTTTTATGGGGTTCCATTTGAAGAAAGATTACATAATTGTGGTACACTAGCTGTTGAACACATTGCAGATAGCCTTCTTGATTGCAGATTGTATTTTGACTATGTTTTCTTTATATTTACTTGTATACACGTATCAGTTTTATACTTTTGATATGGTCAGATGATTAAATCAATAAAGTTTCTACTCTAATTTGTTCTATTCTGCAGCCATTCAAGTGTTAATACGTTCTTCCCATGTTGTATAATAATTATTTTGGTCATCCCCAATGAATGGAAAATCCTCAGTTCCTGATGTCTTAATTGATTCCAAATGCTGGAGATATAACTAAGCCTAATTTATACATCTTCAATTAACCATGATCAATTAAAGCTATAATAACCATCCTATGGATTTCATTACCATAGTATTTATATACTATGTATTACTATAGTACTTGTAGGACAAGTCCAGACAATATAAATTAACATTCCAATTTCTAAATGGCTTTTCTGGCACGAAGAGTCCAGTGATAAAACTAAAAATGTGGCACAATCTTAACGTTTCCCCAACAGCTAACTGTAGTTTAAACAATGGAAATCTTGAGGTATACCACCTTTAGAAATCCTACAAATAAATTAAAAACTTTTATATATATAAAAAAGAAAAAGAAATCCTATAAATAAAAAAGATAAAATACAATTCAACTTCTGAGTTAAATTCATTTTTATCATTAAATGCTCAAAGAAATGCTGGAGCATGCTGTCAACATTCATTTGTGTAAAAATATTGAGATTTATCCTTTGAGCAGCTTCCTAAGAATTCTTAGATTGAATTAAACAAAAGAATCAGAATATTGCCTGAAATCTGACCCACGATACTTATAAAAATCCCCACTTTAGACCCAGTGGATGTGCTTCAATTTATAGAGTAACCAGATGGGGCACTAAGCCTATGAAGTAGCAAAATGAAATAAGGAGTGCAATTTTCTGACTGGTTTATTAAATGGAATAGAATAGATCATCAGCATATAGTGGAAATTTCTATCTTGCATCTATCACGATCTCTTTACTGCATACCACATACCCCCACTGGGATCACTTTGGCCTTTATTTTCCATATCCTCTCAAGTTTCTCCTTCAGGCTGCAGTATTTCTCCAGCTTCTCATGTTTCTTCTTCTTGGTGTTGCTGTCAGTATCACATGATGTCTGGCCTTCTGTGTGGATTTGGAGGTTCCATAGGAACTTTGCCCTGTTTTCCACAATCTTCTATGGAATCTCCCACCTGCACTAACTCTTACATTATGCAGATGTTGCTATACACATAATGCCAACTACTTGTGCCGTTCAATGTATGCTGTTCCTGCCTGCTTCTGACACCCTGCCACTATGTATTGGACTGTCTCTCTCTGCATAGTCTGTACTATCTAATATTCTTGCTTCTACAGATCTGGTTCTTAGTGCCTGTTGTTGGGCTACTATGATCAGTGCCTTGGTGCTGGCTTTTAACCCATCCCTTTCCACCCAGTGATAGAATTTTCCAGTGTCTGCTACCTCAGCTATCTGTTAATGTTATATCCCATGCAAGATCTTATCTTGCCATGACACTTTCCCTATTTGATCTTCCTCCCATGTCTGCTAGCGCCTCAGATATTCTCTCAGCAGTTCATCTTTGGGTGCTATATTACTGATATACTCTTAAATGCTCTGGGTTTTGTCCAGGACAGTGGCTTTGACACTCATCTGATCCCATCTTCCCTCTCTTCAGCTGGTGTATAGTTTCTGTGTGTTGGACTTGGGATGGTAACCTCCATGCATTATGAGGAGTTTTTGCTTCTTCACATTGGTATCTTCCATAAGTGTGGATCATGTCTGGGCCAGGTGCTGTCCAGCTTTTCATGTTCTTGACCCTCTGTTGGATGTCTGCTACTGTGATTGTGACTGATTCCCATTCTGGGAGATTGGTGGGGTCTGCTCTCAGGTCCTGCAGCCACTTTGCACTGGTGTTATATGTCTTCTCTTTCTTCCATATGTTTTCCAGTACCGCTCCATTTTTGTCCTTAGCCTGGTAGCCAGTGCAAAAATTAGCATTAGCAAAATTTGCCAATAGTACCAATGTTTAGACAAGCTATTTAAATTAATTGAGTTTTAATTAATATAATATTGATTTCAATCCTGTACAATATTTTCTCATTTCTTCCTCCTTCACTTTTCATAGTTAATCATATTTATTACATGTGAGTGCCTCACGGTTTCTAGTCACTGTTGTTGACTAATTAAGCATCACTTTAATTGTCATTAATGTCAACATTTACTCAGATAATGTACTGTGTCATAATACTTGAGATAGTGGATTCATTTCTTGTTCTATAAATAAGGATTTAACACAGTAGCTGCCAGTGTGTGAGCTACTTGTGTCTTTCTGGGTGATCCAGTATACAGGCTTACTTATTGTAGGTGAACACACTGTGTAAAAGCTTAATAGTTTTCCACTCGAATGCTCAAATTAAAAAAAACCCACACAGGCTATCAAAAACTATTTGGGAATTGGCAGATCTTCAGATTAATCACTGCTGTAGTGGTTTCTGTAAAGTCATTTCTGCACAAGAGGCTTATAGTATTTTTATTACATCATCACTGAAGTAAATTGATCATTTTGGTGCAATAATTTGGGGTGACTCCAGAAAATCCCATAATTACTCACGCAGAAATTGCTGGACAGTGATTGTGGTAGTTTGAGACAACAAATTGCAGAAGGCTCCTCTGAAGGTTTCTAATCTTTTAATGTCAAAAAGTCTGGAG